TTTTCCGCAAAATCGATCGCCATGTATGCCTCTTGGATGTGATCACTCATCTTCGGTGAGCGCAGAGTCAGGCCAGCTTCTTTCAGCAGCTGGTGGCACACTGCACGCACAGCCTTGATGGGATACTTCCTTGGGGCGTCACAGCACAAGTAAGAGGCGTGCACTTGCTTGTAGGCACCAATCGCGGCATCCCGCGCCTGAGCATCACTCTTTCAATTGCGCCTTTTCGGCGAAACTACAGCCAAGGCCACGGATGTCCGACCCCATGGTCACGACGTGTGGCGGCAACGAAGTGCCAGGCGGCGTCTCACACTGTTGAGCCTGCTGAGTGACCATGGCTTTGACGGAGGCCTCTAGTTGCTGAAGTTCAGCGTCACCTCAAGACAAGCAATAACCAGCTTCACCCTGTCTGTCTGCCTGTCTGCCTATTTTTGTCTCTCTCTCTCTCTCTTTCTTTCTTTCTTTCTTTCTTTCTTTCTTTCTTTCTTTCTTTCTTTCTTTTTTTCTCTCTTTTTTTCTCTCTTTTTCTCTCTCTCTCTCTCTCTCTCTCTCTCTCTCTCTCTCTTTTTTTTGTGCTCGTTTTGTGGCACGCCACCTTGGCCGTCAGGCGTGTTCTCTAGGAAGTCCACCAGGACGGGATCCGAAGCCGCACGCGTCTTGTCCCCGTCGCTGTCCCCGCCAGACAAGCCCAGGATACCAGGCGGTGAATGGACGGGGTTGGTGGAGTGGGCTTGCTGCTGTGGATGATGGCGTTGTTGGGAATATACTGAATCACTCCGGCAAGCCCTTCGCGGTCCACACCTTACACTCCGAAAAGTACCAACTTGCTCAGACACACGGAACATACTTATGACCTATGACTAAAGCCAGAAGAAAAACGAGAAGTCAGTAGCTTCACCATCTATTTTGAAGCGTTGCAGGCGAGTGGCCTGGATGTCTGCGGCACACATCACGGGGTCCCTCCAAACGGCGAACTTGCCAGTGAGCAAGCATCCGCCGGAAATGATGTAGCATTCGCCGTACTCCAGCTCGCCCCAGGGGTCCGGTATGGCAAACGCCGTGACACCGATGGTGGGCAACATGAGCCGCGGATTCTCACGGTACTGGTCCACCCCACACAAATACCGACGACCGCCGTGCTCGAATCCTGCAGGGCTCCCTCTGGACAACGTCCAAGGCTTGTCCTCCGGTAGCTTTACCTGCAACACCTCCAGCGGGGTTGGGTCAGCGCAATGCTCAGTGAACTGGAGCGTGATGTCCTGGTGCGGCACCCGAAGTGCTGCCCAACTCACTTGCGGCCCAAACTGCGGAGGCTCCGGACCCAAGAGCTTTTCTACATGTACACCGGGCGGGCAAGGCGCTGCCTCTGACGGCAAGCCCCAGGCAACTTGGACAATGTGCTCCTTGGTGTGCTTGCGCAAGCTCTCCAGCCAGTCCTCAAGCTTGCGCTCTTGGACATCTCTTGCGGGACCGGATGGCATCAAGCACAACCTCAGCAGCAAGGCTGCTACCACCTGTGAATTCAGGCGGGGTGGCAGGTCTCGACTGGCAGACGTCTGCACGATGTCCATGCCAGGTTGGGCTGCCCATGGCACATGTTCGTCGGGCCGAAACCTCAACTCCACGCACGAGGATGGCAAGCGAAATGCTGTAGGGGCCAATCTCTCGTTTATGGCCACCCTGCTTTTGCAACAACCCACTCCGAGAAACCGAGAGCCATCCTAACTTTTCTGAAGTTTGGAGAGCCGCAATTTGTAGCACATGCTGATTTGTTAGCGTTTGGCCGAAATTCAATATTTGCCGAATTTGTGAAAATTGACGAACCCTGGCTCAAAACGCTATATTTGCTGGAGAACCTTTCGCACTTACACAAACGTGGCTGGAAACGGGGTTTGCTCGCAGCAGCAACCGTTAGAAAATCCACGTGCGAGCCGATTTGACGAGATTGGGCATTGGGGCAGCCCCCTTAAAGAAGGAGTTGGCCTGGGCGCCACGCTGCGCTGGCGAACCCTAATAAACCCTAAACCCTCGACCCCTAAACCCTAAACCCTCAACCCTAAACCCTAAACCCACTTTTCTGAGGCAAAGCTCAGGTCCAGGCGCCGTCTCCCAGAGGGCCAAACTTCCGTTTCATCTCCTGTTCCCAGTGGAGCTCTCCGACTCTCCAATGCCCATCAGAGCCAGGGTTCAGGGTTTAGGGTCTAGGGTTTAGGATGGCGGCTCTCTGCAAACCCACCTTTTTGCTCCCGCAGCCCAAGTGGCCGGGTCAAGCAGGGGGAGGGCGCCACCAGAGCCCCGGTTCCCAACTCTCTGCAAGGATGCGGTTGCAAAAGCCTCTCATCGCCGTGACATTAGGCTCGCTTACCCAGAATGGCAATAATGATAACAATGACAAGTGATAATGATAATCAGACTTGCTAGGTTGAGAGTGTCCCTACGCTGCTCGTTCAGTTTGGGGGGGCGGAGCTGAAGGTGGGCCCTCCACTCGGCGCGAAATTCGCAGCTGGCTGGTTCAAATCCAGAGCTGCAGACCGCCTCCTGTTCGAATTTGCTTTTCAGCATCTCTAGGACCCTGGCCCACTGCTGCAGCCTCCTGAGCGACTCGGAACGCAGGGCCCGAAACTGAAAGTGGAGCAAAATAGGACGAAGACCCGGCGCCCCATCGTGGGGTGCCAGCTCGTCGCGAATTCTCATGCCCGAGGAGCCTGAGGCCACAAGAGGGGTTTAGGGTTTAGCGTTTAGGGTACAGGGAGGGCTTCGGATTTCGGGTTTATTTAGGGTTTCGAGCTCCGGGGTTCATTTTGAGATCCACGGGTTGGGATTATTGGGGGGGTTTTGGGGTGGTAAGGCTTCGGCTTCACCCCCCCAAAGCAGGTCCGTGCAGGGCACTCCACAGGCCTCTTAGCGCCGAGTCCTCTTCTTCGCAGAGCTCTTGGGAGGCCTCACAGCGCACGTCACAGCGAAAAAGAGAAGGAGATGCAAGAGACCGAGAGAAACCCCGGCGGCATCTCAATGCTGTGGGCAGCCGGCCGGCCCACTGGCATCATAATCAGAATATATCAGAATCAGAATACCATGACGACAACAGGAATCATGAGAATGAGATAACGGCAACAATTGTAAACAGCGGCAATGACAATGGTACTACAGGAAGAGATCCTTCGAGATCTCGGAATCTAGGGGAAGTGGGGTACATCCCGAGATTTGGTAGAGGAGCTCCGGGAGGATGCATGTCTGCTTCCTTCTGGTTATTTGGGGTCCTACCGCCGAGCCGAAGCACCGGCCAAGGTGGGTTAAGGTAGTGCTGAAATTCACAGAGAGAAAGGGTAATAGCGAAACTAGTCTCTCCAGTGATACTAACCAAGATGATGGTGCTACTACATAATATCATTCAATACACTCATATACTTTCTGAGTATTTTACTCTGATACCGTATTGATACTGTAATGCAATATACCATGGCGTACTAGGGTCTACACTATTACAAGCATCTAGGTCGAGGTCAATGCTCCGTCAACTCCGAATCCTGGCCTTGAGCTTGGGCTGGCGACCTCCTGCGCCCAAGGACGACGGTTTGTCGGGGTGTTGAGGTTTTCAAGGTTTGCGTGCGTAGCAATCAAAACAGACTACAGTCGTGGTAGTTCCAGAAAATGAGAGGGCTTCTTATTCACCTGAAACTCGCTATGGAATCCTTCTTACAAGGACCCCTCCCTTGTTGGCCACCGCTGCTTCACGGAACACCCACAGTCTTTTTTGACCTGGCTTGTCAAGAAAATTCATGGTAGCAGCTGAGCATCTGACAGTCTGCAGTCCTATGTCAGCTTCTGAGGCACCGTTTGGCCCCTCCGAACCTGCCTGGCCTGTGGATGACAAGCTTCAGGGTTTCCTGACCGGTCTGGGGAACTGACCTCTTTTTAACGCGCCTTGTGCGCAGAGAGGTTTGCCAAAACCCAGGCTGGTATTCGTACTTGCCGATACCAGAGCTTTGCGTGCGCATGCACCTACTATGCTGCGTCAAAAGGAGCCGCCTGTGTGGCGGCTCTCTGCTGAAACTCAGCATCGCCTTGAACGAATTGTCGGAATTGTCTCTGAATTCTCTTGGCATAAGGGATTGGTTGCTTTACACATTGAATTACAGAACGGCTTTCACCTCTCAACCAAGCAGTGAAAGCTTTGGGCCAGGGAGGCCCATGGACGGAGCAGAGCAGCTTTCTGAGCTAGAGGAGCTCAGAATCAGAAGGACGGACAGAGGCGCCATCCGGTGCCTGCGATGCTGTGGTCTGAGGCCCAATGGATGGATGCATCTGGGACAATCCCATCGGGCCCAATGTCACCTGAGAAAGCTTGGCAGTCGAAGGACAGGAAGTCGAAAGACGGCTCCGTGGAGAAGTTCTCCACTCGAATGGGCACTGCGTCGGTGACGTTCACTGCAATCAAGCACGACTCTTTTGAGGGATACGGCTCAGGGAACCCAGGGCTCATGATGCAATCGAACTCATCCATCGAGCACTTTCCTCTCACGACTGCCCACATGGCACCGTTGAAGTCGATGTCAGAGACATCGTCTTCCTCCTGCTGGCAGCAAAGTGTGGCAAAGATGGCAGCTGCATCTTCTTGCGCCGGGTCAGAGGGGCGGGTCAGGCCCCCCCGCCCATGGGGCCCCCCAAGGTTTCGATGGGACTTTCGGGGGAAAACAGTACACGTACCAGAAGAGACTCCACGTACCACACACATGCGGCTACCATCCAGCTGCATCTCTTTCTTTCGCCAGGGCTATGGACACAGGAGTTGCCCCCTGTGCCCGCGCGCATCTCTCTCCCTCTCTCTCGCCCTCTCCCTCCCGCTTTCTGTCTTTCTGCTCAAGAAAGCTGCAGGCCCTACAGCAAAAAGACGGTGTCCTGCTTGTCCTCCGCCGTCGCCCTTTTCATCTTGCCCTCCATGACATCTTCGACCCAGGCCATCACACTCTGAACACGGGCATAGATGCCGGGGAAGCCCGAAACCTGGGCAACAACTTTTGTGAGGCTCATATGGGCTTTATAAGGGCCTTGCAGGGCGTCAAGGGGCTTGGATTAGGTTACCAGAAAACCAAAAGCAGGTTGTTTAAAATACACAGCTCTAACTTCTGGGTTCTTATGATAACTGTAAGTTACACTCCGTATCAAGAGCCCAGAGACTGCACAGCCTTGACCCCAGGAGGTTACACCGCGCAGGACATATCCACCACCCTCCTCGCAAACCATTGGCCCACCGCTGTCCCCTTGGCAGGTGTCTGTGATTCCATTCCCGGAGTGACCCGAAGCACAGAGCATAGAGCCTGTAATCGTCTGGTGCTCCTTGGTGTAGTTCACTTCGCAGTCATGCTTGTTCAGGAGGGTAACAGAAGCTTCTTGTAGGACTTCAGGGACCACCCCTCTCGAGGCCAGGGTACCCCAGCCCGTGATGTGGCACCGTGTGCCCACCTTCTCGGAGGTGCTTGGAAGGCAGGCAACCCCAATGCACTTGTTCATGGGCATGGGCTTGTCCAACTTGAGTAGCGCGAAGTCGTAGTCATGCTGCACGTTGTCGTTGTGCAGAGGATGAACGAAGATTTCTGAGACTCGCCGCTCAGCAAAGAGGCCCTTGGAGTCCGAAGAGGCCTTAGCCGAGTCCCTCTGAGAGGAGCCGGCGCCCACTCTGAGGCTGCGCACGCCACAAGGGTGCTTGATCTGCGACACGCAGTGTGCTGCAGTGAGGACCCAATCTGGAGCGATTAGGGTGCCACCACAAAACTGGCCCACACTCGGCGAGCCGATGCTCACCTGCCACCTCCACATGCATGGCTCCGACTCCGTCCCATGCACTATCCGCTTCCTGAGATTTTTCCTCTGGGTGCCTGGCAAGCCGCAACGCTTCCAGTCTGGGGGCTGCGCCCCCTTGAGGCTGGGTGCAGCCGAGGTTAAGGCTGTCAACACCACGGGGAGCCACCACGCGAACATGGCGGCGAAGACAGGGAGCTATCGAAACTCCTTGCCTGGCCTCTAAGGGCTTCGTGCACAACGAGAGTCCCATGCCATCTCCTCACATTTCCCTTACTTTCCTCCCCTCAGCGCTGTAAAAGCACGGAGAGCACGACCCATGGTCATCCGGTCATCATCATACTCAAAGTAACAATAACAGCAGCAAGAACAAGATGTCAGGATAATGACCCTGAAGAACTCAGAATAATCAAAAACCATGAGAATCATCATCATCATCGTGATCTAAGGAGAATGATCATAATGACCCTAAACCCTAAACCCCAAACCCCAAACCCTAAACCCCTAAACCCCTAAACCCCTAAACCCCTAAACCCCTAAACCCTAAACCCTAAACCCCTAGCCCTAAACCCTGATAATCATGAAAAAAATCACAGCAACTGAGCGCCTCCTGGCTCTTGGAAGCCTTCGGCTCAGGCAAAGCCTCGGGCTCCTGGCTGCCAGGTCGCCGGGCTCTGGGATCTCAAGGGCTTTGGGTCTTGGGCTTAGGGGTTTAGGGGTTTAGGGGTTTAGGGGTTTAGGGGTTTAGGGTTTGGGGCTTAGGGTTTGGGGTTTGGGGGTTTGGGGTTTAGGGGGCTGGGGTTTAGGGCTTAGGGCTTAGGGCCATGTAGACGTATATGTGGGTAGTTCTCTAAATTAGGGGTCTTCTTTAAGTCCCCAATATAGTACGGCACCCTTATAAGAGGACCCTAATTTAAAGAACTGCCCGTCTGAGGCTTCACAATGCGGAACTCGGATGTTTTTGGGGCTTGAAGAGTCTGGGGGCTGTTGCCTTCGGACGCCTTACCAAGATTGCAAGCCACCACTACTGCTACCGATTGCGCTTCTTGAGAGCCGCCCAAGCACAGAGCCTGGCGACCTCACCGTGTTTGAGTCCATGCGGATCGGTGCCAGTTCAAGCAGTTGAAGCTTGGCTTGTTTGGGGTATGGAGCTACATGTTGCTCAGGGTTTTTTGGGTTTCCGAAAAACCGGCATGCGACTCGCCAGGATCCTTGCAGCTCACCGCGCCTCCGTCTCGACTGCGGCCTCCTTGTCCTCCCCAGCCTCCGCTTGATCCTGCGAAGCCTGCAATCGCTCGGCACAAGGGTACAACTACTCGTCAATCTCCAAAAGACTACTTTGCAATCTATCGCAGGCCGTTTACTACCCCTCCCCCCATGCGATTCCTACTGATGTCCACTACCCCCAGAGAAGGCAGAGAAGCTTGGAACAAACAGACTCATGCTAGACGTGATCTTCTAGACACGCCGACTGCAAATTTCAGCAACCTTTGCCGTGTGAGCTCCTGACACAAAAAAGATGCAAATCGGCTCCTTTTGTCTGATCCTTGGATGAGAGCGTCCAATTCGCGTTCCCCGCGAAACCTCCTGCCCTGGAGGCATGCAAACCTGTTCGCTAGAACGCTTTTGCTGGCTGGGCGCTTACAGACATGCCTGGGCAGTTGTCACCGTGGCGGTTCCTGCTTTGCACAGCGAGATCCGAAAGCATGCTATTAGGGTATGGCTGGGACAAAGCAAGCGACCGTATATTTCGGCTCGAAAGGTTGAAACCCTCTGAAACTGCGCAGCAAGAACCCAGTAAAGGTCTGCTTACATCTGGTGATGTCGCCGTGACACGATTTCGCTCGCCTGCTTCAGTGTGTTCCTTGAGGATCCAGGTGCCCTGAATGGCCATTTTCGGGCCCTATGATCATCGGCATGATCACTACCGATACCATTGCCAAGATCGCTAGGAAGTATGCTTATGATGGCTGATGACAGCCATGAGTATTAGAGTCATTAAGAGCACCCGAACTCACTCCTCGATCCTTCGGCCTTAAAAACGGGGCCATTGGCAGGCTGGCCTTCGTGCTGGTAGCCGTTAAGGCTCCACCAAGCACTACCTGCCACCTTTCCTATTGCAAAATCAAAGTCAACACCCTCCTTGAGGTGCGTTGAACCTTCCAATATCATAGCAACACTAACAGTAGCAGTCTTAAGTAACCATCAGAATCATAATCAAAAATCATTAGTCGTGCCCCTGGAGTGTAGCTGCAGGGCCCGCTGCATGGACGCGAGCGGGCGCGTGCGCTGATTTAATCAGGCCGGGCCCAAGCAGTCCAGCTACACTTGCCGTAGACAAGAAGGACCAAGGGAAGTGATGCAACAGCAAAGGCGATTCCTCCCCACAGCGTGGTTGTGTAGAGCAGGTCCGTCAAAGCAAAGTCTGCAAAGAACATGACAAAGAAGCAAATAAACAGCAAGATCGATTTGCCAAAGTCCAAGACAGTGGACCCGCTCTTGGCAGCATATCGGTCACAAAGCCTCCACATTGCATTGAAGACGAGCAAGGTCCCAAAGAGCACGTAGCCAAACCAGGAGCCCAAGAACTCTGACAGCGCGCTCTCGATGGGCGCTCCACCATGGATCAACGACGCCAAGACATCCAAGCCGATGCCCAGAGGCCCAGTCATGCAAAGCACCCCATAGCTCAATGGCAAACGCGTTGCGATCATCCCGTGAGTTCTTGACACAAGGGACCTCGAACATAGTCGGAGAAGGCCTCCGGACTCGAATACCAGGCCGTTATGGCCGTGTGTACAAATTCTCGATCGTGTTCCAATGAGTACCCTGCATCCTCCAGACGAAAGTCTTTCAAAGCGGCAATGAGCTGGTGCTTCTCCCTCATGAAGATGCGCAGGCCATGCACGATAAACAGGATTGGACTCACTGCTAAAAAGGAGAGCGGGATGCTGAATCGCACGTCCAAGTCCGAAGCAAAAATCGCACACATCATACCAGCTGCTGCGTTGTTGCCAAGAATGGTAAGGAAAACCTGCCGCTCCACGAACAGCGGCATCAAACTGAGCCGTCCCTTCGGATTGGCTTTGCGGAAAGCACCAATTTCGAACACGCACCAGAGGCGAGTGAGGTACCTCGAGATTGCTCTTTTTGCTGTTATTTTTTGGTGCAGATGGAAGACAACATGATGGTCATCATGATGGTGATGGTGATGCTAATGCCGCTGAAGATGCTGATGATGATGACGACGATGATGACAATGATGACGATGATGTTGACGATGTTGGTGGTGATGGTGGTGATGATGAAGATGGTGATGGTGATGGTGATGGTGATGATGATGATGATGATGAGATGATGATGATGATGATGATGATGGTGGTGATGGTGATGGTGATGGTGATGCTGATGGTGGTGGTGACCGCGCTGATGACGACAACGACAACGACGACGGCGAAGATGATGATGATGATGATGATGTCATCATCATCATCATCATCATTCCATACATGGTTCGTCTGTCGTAGCCTGAAGTTCTGAAGTATTCCGGATCTGGAGAGACGGGATGTGCTGCCACGTCCATGTGGAATAAATGGCATGCATCGTCACCACAAGTTGAATGTTCAACCAGCACTGCCGGTGCTAGTGCTTAAGGGGTGTATGCAAACAATGGTCCCTGCGTCATCCTGACGCAGTCCTTCTGATGATACCTAGTTGTCCCCAGTAAGTCAAGGCACGGGGGCGACCACAAAACTCGCAACTCCTGCGAGACGCTAAGAAATCCTCCCAGGCCATACCTGAGAGGTTTTGCGAAGCTGCGGTATTGAAGATGTTTTGATCTGTCGGGGCTGCATTGGATTTGAGATAACCTGTCCAAAACACGACTGCTCAAAGCCATCTCAGACACACTCCACGCTCCATGAGTTCGGAATCTGTCTGGTGGATGCTCACCACGTCCAGGAAGCATTTCGGCGAGTTGCACAAGATGTACCTAACGACCCTTCAGCACAACTGAAAATGGGTTGCTTTGTGGCTTCGGAGGGATTTCAGCTCTAATCCTAAATTATTCCCAAAAGACAGCACGAAAACTTGTTTGGTTTCTGCGGACTCGGCTAGACCGGAATTACTCAAACGTCGAACATATCTTTTGAAGTAGACTCCAGGCCACGGGGAGAGCAAAAGGGAGATCGGCACGGCCAGAGACCCGGAGAGTAACGTCCAGGGAGCTGCCGGACAAGCCGCTTGAAAGCCCAAGACGTTGATTTTGAATACCAGGGGCATAGGAAGTGCTCCCAAGCAGCTGAGGAGGAAAGCTACTGCCACCACACAGAGCCAGGAAACCATGACAATTGGCCAACAGTACTGGAAGAGCAGTGACAACACCTTCCAACGACCACTCGTTCTCCACGTGTGGGAGAGGAAAACCTAGTTCCGGTTGCATTAAAAACTTGAGGTTCTACTCCCTATTGAGTTTAGGTACCCATAAGCTTGTAAAATGTTACCCAGCTATGACAAAGAAGCGTCGAAATGATCCGAGGGCTCTGACTTCTCCCATAGCTTGCTGCGATCGGCCCCTGTGAGCTCCAGGAACGACCTGGGGTCTCAACATACAACATAAAACGCCAGATGAGTCATCATATGGACCTTACCTTAAAGGGGGGGGGCGGGGGGTTGGGGAGTTCGGGATAAGTGGTATTGATGAGTCAGCAATCAGGATGCAGGAGTCCGGCGTACTATGCTTGGGAAAGGGGGCTGTTTCGAGAAACTCCCACCTCTGCCACAGCAATCCAAAGCGCTTCAGACTGGAGGAAAGGGAAATGCTGCGGATGATCTCTCGGTCCACCTGGGAGTGTGCGAGAATCATGGTCAGTCTTGAAACCCGGTGCAGGGTTTAGGGTTTAGGGCCCCGCAATGTGTCTGGATGCGTCGCAGGATTCTGATATGTCAGGGGCTGCTTCGTTGCCCTCCGTTTTAGCCCGTGCCCACCTCAAGGACTTTCATAGCTTCCAGGCGAGCTAGCCGCTGTCCCCAATGAAAGGAGACTTGCCGCGGCTCAAGCTCCAGGCTGGGTTCCTCTTTGACTTCTGGCGGACCTGTCGCCTCGCCCGGAATCGCCTGCGGCTCTGACTCTCATGGGCTCATGGCTTTGATGCCTTCAGCATCCTGAGGGGCTTCCATGGCTAGTTGAGGAAGAAGAACCTAAAGACCCAAATCTCAAGACAAGCCCGGGCACTCCCGCCCGCACCGTTTCTGTGGGGATGACCTTCATCCTGTCGCAGCAGCTGCTGCCACGGGCTCTCATGTCGAGGAAGTGCCCTGCTTACCACTCAATCGATGGTGAAGGCAACCTACTCAGGGGCTCGAATCCAGAGGGGCCGCGTCGTGCATGCGCTTCTCCCACTTCCGTCATAGGGTTCTCGAGTTGTTTGAAGACCAGGCTCGGCCACAACCCTTCGTCACTAAGTGCTTTAAGGGCATCCCAGGCTGGACAGAGGCTCTGAATTAGGCACAATCCGGCTGGAGGCAGGTTTCCACGGCGACGTGCCTGCTCGGCTGAGCCGTCCTCAGGTTGGGCCTCTGAGCCCTGAGCGGGAGGCATCTTTTCCAGCACGAAGTATCTACACAATCTACACCATTGCAGCTGACGTTTCGCGAGAGACACTGCAGCTTAGGTTAGATTCGGCTGTTTCAATCCAGCCTCGCCCTGTGCAGCAGGCTCAGGCTGCTCTGCTGCAGCCTCAGCACGCCGAGACAAAGTAACAAGGTGCCAAGGCCTCATCTCCCTGGGGTATCTCGATCGATCCAAACAGGTCAATTGATAAATCCGTGGTTCGGGCCGCCTCGGCGACAGGATCTCTGACGTCCGCTTCGACCTGCGGCGTGCTTTCAGACAAAGCATGCCAGCGAAAACTGAGGGAGAACTGTTCGATCCCGATGTCCGACTGTGGCCTCCTGAGCCGCGGAGGGTGCCTCAATCTGGCATGTGGCCTCCTCCGCCTGATCGTGCGAAGCCTGCACTAACAAACTTGATACTGTCAGTTCCTCTTTGATGGAGATGCCAGCCGGAAGAGTAGAGTGAACTTGGGGTGTTGAATGCAAGCTATCCCATCGTCAGCATTGTTGTCATCACTGTCATCAGCGCTGTCATCCAAGCCGCCTAAACAATCGCAACTGTAGTTGTCTTCCGTATGACTCAAGTTAATTATGCCCCCATCATGACGACACCCCCACAACAATTCTGACAATCTTGTCGGGCAATCCTTAGATGACAATCACGTTTATGAGGCCGCTACCACAGACAGTGATCATTGCAATCTTTATGGCGATGATGGCTAACGGCTAACGACAAGCTGATTCCGCCCGTTGCCGTGCGTGACAGGAAGGGCGGTTATGAACCGTGATCGAAAACAGCAGTACGGTGGAAGCTTTCTGTTTCAGACAGTAAAAGAAGCCGTCTGGTCACAACAGCCCCTGCTCAAGACAGTTCAAAAAGTAACACATCCGGGTACCAGCCCGCCTCCACAGTATCAGTGACAACAGCTTCGACCTGCATGCGGGCGTTCAAACCCAACATGCCGTGCAAAAAAAACAACAGATCTGGAGAAGCTCGCCGTGCCTCCATCTCGGCTGTGTCCTCCTGTGCCTCCTCTTGGCCGTGGGAAGCCTGCCATCACTCACAGAAAGCTGGACGGCCACTTTTGCCATGATGTGACCGTGAGCTAGGCGTGCCACAAGTCTTTGCAAATCAGGCCCTTGATGCCATGCTATCACACCGACATCGGCGCCGGGATCATCATCGCCAAAAGCCACACCATGGTCATGATCATAAGCGTGACCCCCCTTTTGCAGCATCTTAGCATTCCGAGCTACCCTTCATTGTCGTCATCAAGATCATCATCATCATCATCAGCATCCTCAAGACCGTTCACGAGAGCAACATCAGCATGGCACTCATCACCATCAGTATGGACACCAACAGAATCAACGACATCATTAACAGAACCACACACATCATCATCGCCATCGCAGCCATCATCATCATCATCATCATCGTCATCGTCATCGTCATCGTCATCGTCATCGTCATCATCAGCATCATTGTCATCATCATCATCATCAACAACATCATCATCATCATCATCATCGCCATCATCAACACTATCAACACGGTTATCAACATCCATCATCACCATCATCACCACCATCATCCGTGCCCCTCCATCCTCATCATCATCATCCGGGCCCCTCCATCATCATCAACAACACCGTCATCATCATTGCTGTCGTCGCAACCGCAATGACCATAGTCATTGGACAGTACCATCCATCATCAGCTGCTTCTGCTTTCTGCTCCATGCAGGAGCTTTCACACACCAACCTCCCCCCGGTGCACTACAGGTTCCGGGCCGCCTCCACGGCAGGATCAGTGACAACAGCTTCGACCTGCATGCAGGGCTTTCAGACCAAACATGCCGGCAAAATTGATCTGGAGAAGCATTCGGACCATTCGGAGAGGCCATGCGTCATTAGCTCGCCGGCCTCCGTCTCCGCTGTGTCCTCCTGTGCCTCCTCGTGACCATGGGAAGCCTGCCATCACGCACACAAGGATGGCCGGCCACACTTGGACGATGCTCACTTCCGCCGTGCTGTGATCGTGAGTTATCGTGAGCTCAACCCACCTCCACCCTACATCGATGTGGGCTTGGAAACCTTCCTACTGCTGTGGGTTTGGGATCTTGGTACTACGAGGACATATCAAAAGTGCCAAGAGAAATAGGAATGTGTCGCTTGCGATTCAATTATCCACAACGGATGCTGTTTCCGGATCTTGATATGGTTGCGACGTCTCAACTACCAACAGCCACGGGGATGGGTAATGTAGTGGTCCGGGCCGCCTCCACGACAGGATCAGTGACAACAGCTTCGACCTGCATGCAGGGCTTTCAGACCAAACATGCCGGCAAAAATTGATCTGGAGAAGCATTCGGACCATTCGGAGAGGCCATGCGTCATTAGCTCGCCGTGCCTCCGTCTCGGCTGTGGCCTCCTGTGCCTCCTCTTGACCATGGGAAGCCTGCCATCACGCACAGAAAGCTGGCGACGATGCTCACTTCCGCCGTGCTGTGATCGTGAGACATCGTGAGTTATGCGGACCGCAAGTCTTTGCAAATCATGTTCTCGAACCTATCGCATTGACAGCGACATCGTCTCACCAGCATCATCACCAACTTCCACACCAAGGTCATGATCATGATCACGATCATCACAATCCTATCCATCCTGATAATCATGTCTCGGCTACATTCATCGTCGTCTGGCATCTTGGTCGTCATCGTCAGCAACAGGCGAGCGATGGTGCCTAACCACCCGCCGTAACGCCGCAGCATGTTCGTCATACTCGTCACCATCAGCTTCGCCTTCATCAACATCGCCATCATCAACATCCACATCATCAGAATAGAACGCAATTTATCAACAGCAACATCAACATCGTCATCATCACTGTCAAGAGTCATAATCCTCGTCGCCATCCTCACCACCATCGTCATCATGCCGTCATCATAAACATCGTCATAGTCGTAGTGTTCTTCACGCTCACCCTTTCTATCACAAGCAGCAGTAGAAGCAGCAACAGTACTAGCCGCGGCAGCGGCAGCAGCTGCATCAGCTGTGCACATCACAAACACCACGACAGGATCTTTGACGACCGTTTTGACCTGGAGACATGCCGGCAAAAACTGATCTGGAGCAGCGCTCGGACCATTGTTTGGGACAGGCCATGCGTCAGTCACAGCTCACCGTGCCTCTGCCTGGACTGTGGCCTCCTTTGTCTCCTCTTGATCGGCGGAAGCCTGCAGTCTCTCACAAAAGCTGGCCACGCTTAGGCTTAGACGATGCCGTTGCATCATCACCACCAACAGTCGCGCCATGATCATAATCATGATCGCCAACGTCATCATCATATTCTGCACGATGCTAGCTAACAAAACGGCTGCAGAATTTCTTTGGGAGCTCTTCTTTACTTCTGCGTTTTGTTGAAGAGGGGGTGGTAGAGCTCCTGACATGTGCCATACCCACCCGCCGTGCTGGTGGTAGAACTGGCATTGTGGGAGGACGGATTCGGTGGTGAGCCCGCTCTACTTGCGGAAGCCGAACCATCCGATAAACCAACAGTAGACGCGGATGAATCAAATTCCTGGATATTTTGGATGGTCAAGCACACAGTAGGAACGGATGAGTTGCAACAGCAAGAATAATGCTTCTGCATGTAATGACACTAATGATGCTGAAAAGATATTAATCACACGACTTACAATAATGTTAAGTTGTCATGAATGAGACCAAGAATAAGAATACGTTTCAATGGAAACAACAACAATAAAATCAATATAAGAATTAATTAACAACTAACAATCACAATAAGGACAATCCGAAGAACGGGACAGCGGAGCAGCGGCAAGGCGGAGGGGACACAGAGAGGGGCCGAAGAAGAAAAACGGAGCAGGAAGAGACTGGAACTGCGGAAAGCTCAGAAGCGGACAAGCGCAACAGAAAGAGCGCAGAAGCAGACCAGGGGAGCGGAAGAAAACCGGAAACGCGCAAGCGAAGAGACGAGCTGAAAAAACGGAGAAGCGCTGGCTCAGAAAGCGAGGAAGCAGAAAAGCGGGGCAGCAAGAGGCCATAATTGCGAAAAAAACTCAGAGGCAGAGAAGCGGAAAACCAAAAGCACTGCAGAAGCAGAAAATCGGAGCACGAGATAGACGGAAACGCACGGAAAATGGGGAATGAGAAAAGCTCAGCAGGGGCAGAAGAACGGACGAACGGAGGAGTAGAAATGCAAGGGGCGGGGGGGACCCTCCTAACAAAACTCATCGTTGCCATCATCGTCAACATCATGCGGGCGATTGTTCCTGAATTCCCATACTGACATAATCATCAACATCGCCGTGATCCATAACAATGTAGTCATCATCATTGCCTTGACCGGCATCAGTGTCTTCTTATTCACCATACCCGTCGTCGGTGATTAACGTCGTAGTTCTCCTCTCTCTCCTCCTCCAACACTCACATTCCGACACATCATCACCACCATCGTCATCGCTCACCCTTTCAGCAGCTTTCAACAATGTCAGAAGCAGCAACAGCATGCGCAGGAGCAGCACCAGCAGCCGCGGTAGCACCAGCTCACCCAGCACAGGTTGCAGACATTGTGATCATAGTCGTCGTCATCGTCGTCGGCATCACAGTGACCACAATCTCTGGCATCATGGTCACGACAGCAGTGTCTGTCATCAGTGCCGATGCTCCATGCATGGGCTTCCAATACGGACCTCCCTAGTTCAAGGCTCGCATTATGCATCAGGGTTTCGCGCCGCCTCGGCGACAGGATCTCTGACGATGGCTTCGACCTGCGTGCGGGAGCGAAAGCTGATCGGGAGAACAGCTCGATCCCGACTGCGGCCTCCTTGGCCACGGCGGGTGCCTCAATCTGGCACGTAGCCTCCTCCAGTTGATCGCTCGAAGCCTGCATGCACTCGTGTAGATTTGCCAAACTTGGATACTGGCGCCGGAAACGTGCAGTGCTCTTCGGGTTGTCGCATGCATGCTGTCCCAACCCCGTCGTCAGCATCGTTGCCGTCACCATCATCAGTACTGTCATCACCATGAATACCAAGCCACCATGCCGACAAGACAATCGCAACTCTAATTGTCATCAGCATGATTCAGGCTACACCCGCAACAACCATTCTCAGAGGCTTCGGGGCCCTCCTGAGATGACACCCACGTTCATGAGGCTGCTACCAGGTACACCCAGGTACCACACACGAAGATCATTGCAATCTTCATGGCGGTACTGGCCAACGGCTACCCTTCCATGCGTTGCCGAGCGTGACAGGATTTGTGATTGTGAGTTGTTGTAGTAAATAGCAGTGCGGCGGAGGCTCGTTCCAGACAGCTAAAGAGGCCGTGGTGTCACAAGCCCCAGTTCAAGAAAGGTTAAACTACGTCCGGATTCCAGGGGGCCTCCAGGACAGGATCACTGACGCCAGCTTCGACCTGCACGCGGGGGTGTCAGACCAAACCCTGCCGGCAACAACTGATCTGGAGAAGCGTTCGGACCACCCGGGCAGGCCACGTGTCACTCACAGCTCGCCCTGCCTCCGTCGCAGCTGTGGCCTCCTGTGCCTCCTCTTCATCGTGGGAAGCCTGCCATGACTCACAGAAGCTGGAGACATTTGGACGATGCCACCGACATCGCCGTCAGGATCGTCATCGCCAACAGCCACGCCACGGCACAGACAGCATTGCCCTGCCTGGAATGTTGGTGTAATCAGAGCTTTCTCCACGGGAGCCTGCAGCGACTGAATGCCACTGAGCGGTAGACTCATGGCGGTTCAAGGCCAACAGGACTGGATTCCCGCGAGTTGAGGGCCATCTACAGGCCGTCGGTGTTGGTAGAACGTTGGAAATTTGGAGGCAGCGGTGGCTCTTAAAGCCTGTGTTGCTTCAAACAACTGCTTGACCTCGTATGACGGTCTGCCCATCGCAGTGATGTGCAGTACCTTCTTGCATGCCCGAACAATGCACAAAAGCTGCAACGAGAACTAAACCTCACATGCAGACCTTCGCGCAAGCCACGCGGGAGTTTAAGAAATCGGGATCTGCAATATAGATCAATGGCACGGTAGGATCCATCTCATAAAGATTCGCCGAAACGGACGCCCCATCGCCGAATTTTTGGAGTTCCTTTACAATCCGCAAACATGAGATCGGTACCGGTGCCTCGGACGGTGAAGGCCGAGACCTTGCGACTTGAAAGCAAACGGGTAATCTACCTACCTAATCTCGCAAGTGTGCAAAGACCCCTTATGGGCACTGTTAAAATTAATATCGTTATTTCAATACGAGTCTACGAGAGCAAGGACGTCTGCAGGCTTAAACTTGCATATAGTAGAACAACCTGCCTATGGCAACTATTAACAACTATAGAAACCCTTATCGCAAGCCCAAGAAACTGTAGCAACCCTTATATAGTAAACCTTATAACCTATAGCTACCCTTAATTTCAGTACCCCCATGTAGCAAGCCCTACAGTAACCACTATAAGCCTATAGAATGCGACGACCATGATAAACTATAGTATCCCTTATAGTAACCCTATAGCAACCCCCCTACAGCCCTTGTAAACTATGGCAACCCTTATGAAGTATATTAACGCTTATAGTTGCCCCTGGCAAACCCTCATCTCGTTGATTCCTTCAGCTTTTATGCTTTGGCTCGCAGAATGTGGCGGCCAAACCCCACACCCCAAACCATTCCTTTCGGGCTTGGGGTTCTGGCTTCGGGTTTAGGGTTCAGGGCTTACAGTTTAGGGCTTAGTTTGGGGCTTACCATTAAGGATTGACGGTTCACGGCTCGGGATGTTCCAGCACTAAGAGCCAGTCAGTTTCCGATCAAACACCAGCTGCGACCGGATTGCAAAGGCGGCTCGGGGCTGACCTGGTCGGACCGGGCAACCTGCACGACGAACGTGTGAGATACTCTGAAATGCTGGCGCTGGTGCTGCTGCAATCATTACGAACACTGATGACAAAAGCATGAAACAAGTCAAAAGAGTACTGTTACGACCACGACGAGGACTGCTGCCTCTGCTGCCGCTACTCCTTGTTCTTGCAACTCTCTTCTGGACAGTCCTACCCGCTGCACTGTTTGTTGACGAGTCTTATTGTCCTTATATCCTCGGTAATACAGCACCAGGTTACGAGCACGTAGTTCATCTTCCTGCTCGCCTTCCCATTGCTCTAGTCACTCTTCATGCTTGCGCTGGTTCTTGCAGGTGCATCGTATTACTGCCCTTTGTCTCACTACCCCGGTGTACGGAAAGTGGTCTGAGGATGTTTCTTGAGTTTCTTGTGCTTTCGCGTGTCCTTCTTATTTGAGGCAGCAGCAACTATAGCAACTCAAGAACGAAGAGGGGGTCGAGAAGTGGAAGCTACTTCCGGTGAAAGCACCGCTTGGGCAGCCACTCTGCACTTCTGCGCAGCGGCCGTTGCTAAGTGAAGCCCGAGAAGCTGCCGGAGCTCACGAAATACCCCTCATCCCCTAAGCCCTACTGTAAAGGGGTTTAGGGGTTTAGGGTTTAGGGGTTTAGGGTTTAGGGTTTAGGGTTCAGGGGTTTAGGGTTATTTAGGGTTACGGGTAAACCCTCACCACCTAATCCCAGAGCTTCCCAGCCCGCTACAACCCCCCAAGGCCCTCATCCCTAGGCTGCAAGCCCCAGCACCGAAGACCTTCGACGTGAGAGACACCAAACTTCAGAATCCTGACCGTTGAATATACCAAAAAACGAAACTCTCCCCCTTACGGTACCTTTGGATGACGCAACACCACGAAACCTTAAACAAGCCAACGACCCAAAACCCCGAAGCTCTGAACCCTCTCTCAAACCCCTCAACCCTAAACCCTAGAACCCCCAAAGCCTCAAACCCCCAAACCCTCAAGCCCCCAAACCCTCATACCCCTAAACACCTAAGCCCCTAAACCCTCAAACCCTAAACCCTCAAACCCTAAACCCCTAAACCCCTAAACCCTAAACCCTAACCCCTAAACTCCCTGAGCCTGCTCCGGCAAATCGGCGCAGCGGCGCTTGCAGCGCTCCTCGTGGCCGCGGAGTCGAAGGCCGAATCCTGGCGTGGAGTTCGGGTTTGGGGGCGTGGGGTTTAGGGGTTTAGGGTTTAGAGGTTTGGGGTTTAGGGGTTTAGGGTTTGGGGGTTTGGGGTTTAGGGGCTTAGGGCTTGGGGGCTTTGGGGTTTAGGGGTTTGAGGGTTTAGGATTTGGGAGTTTAGGGGTGTGAGGGTTTAGGGGTTTCGGGGCCCAGGGTT